GGTGGACTTAGAAGAGGAAGAAGAAGAACTCTCTCTCTCTGTGTGTCCAGTACTAACCTGTGAAGCTGGCGCCTTGATGCAGGTACCACGAAGATGGAGCTGGACCGATGGCGCCACAGGTAAGTACCACTGTCCTCCGTCAGTATCTCTCCTACTCTACCATCTACCACCTACCAGCGCCCAGTGCTGAAGACTACTGTTTTGGCTATGGGCACCCAGCGCCGAAGACTACAGCTCGCGCTAATACTACTGCCTCGCGCTGAAGACTACTGCAGCGCTCCTCCTGAGTGCTGCGGCCGAAACTGAAGACTACCCGTGCCTACTGACAACTACCTACCCGTGAAGTGCATGGGAACTTCCTATATATTACCGGGTGTGCCTCCTGAGCCGTGCGAGCAGTTCAGGAGGCTGTTCTTGCCAATGCCAAAGGGAGGCAGGGGCTGCAGCTGCAGCTCCTGCTCAAGCTCGTGTGGAACAGGCTATTTTTGGCGTGTTCCGCATCCCTGTTTACGTGCCTGAGTCTTAGGGGCAGGTCGAAACAATGAGGGCCTGAAAATGGCCCTCCGTTTCAGGCTGGAAAACTCTAGGTTGAAACGGAGTAGGGCCTGCAGCCCCTCGTTTTTCAGCTTTCAGGCTGAAACGACCGGGGCCTATAAGCCCTAAGTTTTAGGCTTTTAGGCGGAATGTCCGGGAAGGGCCCGTGTGGCTATGCAGTATGCCACACCCCCCCCTCCTTGAAGAACCGAGCTTACCTGCGAGGGCGAAGCTGTCTGTCTGAGAGAGGGACCACAGTCCGGGTGGGAGGGGCTGGTCATGAAGCTTCCTTAGCTAACCTCCGCTTTTCATAATGCGCGTAGATCAGCGGTGCGGATGCTTTCAAGTCTGCGCCTCAAATCCACCGAGTGTCGTCGCGATCGCATGCTTTGAATGTGACTTTGTACTGTCGCGGCTTGCTGCCGTACTTGCGATCGGAGATGACACGGTCAACTTCTGATGACGATCCATAGAGGGAGGGTCCTACGATCGTCGGCCCGGAAAGTCGTCGCTCTTGGCTGGCGTGTATGTTGCCAGCCTCGAGGCGTGGAAGACGGGATGGACCGTCAGATGCTCTGGAATGTTGATCACAAATGAAGGGCGATCGGGCTCATCGCCCGCGGCTGTTGTCACAGACCAAGGTCCAAACCACTTGGGAAGCAGTTTGCGTGAAACATCCTGTTCCAGTGCAAACTCTTCCACGGAGACCCAAACCAATCACCGGCGCGGATGGGACATGGTACGCGACGCCTGTTGGCTTGCTGCTGCATGCGGACTTGAGCCTTTTGCATATTTATGCGTGCTTGAGTCAACAATTCCCTATACTTTCGGACGAAAACGGGAGAACAGGCAGTGTCAATGTCGGTTGGTGGAGGGAGGAGAAGGTCGGCGAAGATACGGCCTTTCCGTCCATTGTGGTGCAACTCGAATGGAGTCACGTCGATAGCCGGGTGCACCGAAGTGTTGTAGGCGAACTCGATGTCGGGGAGGCGGTCAACCCAATCTTTCTGGTCCGGACGGATGAGCGTACGAAGCATCATTTGAGCGGTTTGATGTGCCCGCTCCGTCTACCTGTCTGTCTGAGGATGCCAAGCCAAACTTGGTTTTATTGTTGTGCCGGACTCCTGCATGAGAGCAGTTCAAAACGCCAACATGAAACGAGTGTCGCGGTCGCTGACAATGTCTTCTGGTACACCGTGGCCACAAATCCAACCAGTGAGCAGGAGGCGTGCCAGCTCGGTAGCCGTGGAGTAGTACTTGCAAGGGAGAAAACCCGCGTACTTACTCAATCGGTCCACAACCCTGAGGATGCCGTCGTGCCCGAGCCGGTCGCGAGAAACGGACCGGTGACGTCCATGGCAATGGAGAGACCGGGTTCCCATGGGATAGGCATCGGGTGTAACTCGCCATAGGGATTGTGGTTGCGGGGTTTTCTGCGTCGGCAAACTTCGCACAAGTCGCAATACCGAGTGACATCGGTAATGAGGTCGGGCCATCGGAATCGCTGTCGAAGCCGTGCAATAGTGCGGTTGACTCCGAAATGGCCGGCGAGTCGTGAATCATGATACTCGCCGAGGAGGCGAGTCCGAAGACGACGGTCGCGTGGGACACACAATAAGTCCTTGCCTCTCGAGTGGAGGAGCAAGTATCCGTCGACGATGCGATAGTCTCTGGCCGGCGGGTGATCCAATGATAGCTATGCGTACAACGTGGCGAAGTCCGGATCAGACTCGTATGCCCGGATGAAGTGTCGTTGAAGCTCCTCGTCGAATGCGAAGGCATGATGAGTCATAGCGCAAAGATCAGGTCTTCGCGAGAGTGC